TGCAAGCAAGTTATAGAAAAAGGTGGCTCTCTTCCCAACGTGGAAGCCAATTACGTGAAAAACTGCTTCCAGATGATTGACCAGGCTATTTAAGATCTCTGACATGTAGGAAGTCTCTTTAAGAAAATAGTTTAGGGACCAACAGTTGCATAATGGCTATGTCGCCGGACTTCCATGTAGTCAACCACAGTTTGAGTCCCAGACCTGGTGGCTTAAACTCACACCAGGCGTGTGTGAATGTGTGCCCAAGATCCCGAGAGGAGAATGGTGAAGAGATTGTGGCATGGCCATCCCATCTGGGGGGGGGTGATCTCTCAGTTTCTGTCTCTCTGTCTCTGTCTTTCTGGTGAGCGCATGTTCCCTATAGCAAAACCTCTCTGGAAAAAAAGAAGAAAAAAATTTTCTGCCTTATTTCATTTCTGTAACAGTTTATATATGGCTGTCCTGTTTATAATGCAGAGTGAGAACTTCCCCTACCATGTTTAATAAACATTGTCCAGGCTCTATTACCAAGAATGTGTTGTCCAAAATGCCTATTTAGTTTTTAAGGATGAAATTCCACCCTTTGCTTGGTTTTAAGTGTGTGTGGAATGTTATGATAGGACACAGTAGTAGTGGTGGTCAGACATGGAAATGGGGGGGGAGACAAAAATATACATGTGAAATAAACTCAGTATTTTAATTAAAAATAAAAGACAAATAATACTTGAATGCAATATTCTTTTAAAGCAGAACTATAGTTTCAGGGCCAGCCAGTGGCATGGTGGTTAAGGCAGCTGGATCCCCCATGACTGACTTTGTGATTTGAGTCCCAGACTCGGTGCCTTGTAAAACACATCAGGTGCGTGTGTGTGCGTGCCCAAAATGGTGAGATAATGAAGGGCAGGACTGAGGCATTGCCATCCTCCCTAAGAGATGATTTCTCACTTTGTCTCTCTCCCTCTGGAGAGTGCATGCACTCTATAACAAAAACTTGTAGTTTCAAATCAATTCCTAGAGTTCCACTGAAAATCACTGTAGTGGGGCCAGAGATTAGTGGTTATGCCACTGGACTCCCACATAGCCAACAATGGTTCAAGTCCTGGGCCTGGTGGGTTCTAAATCATTGCAGGCATGTGTGCGTGCGTGCCCATGATCCTGGGAGGAGACTAGACGAGAAGGGGATTGCAGTATTGCCATCCACCCTGGGGGGGGGGATTTCTCACCTTCCTTCTCACTGTCTCTTTCTTTGTCTGTCTCTCTCTCTCTCCAGTGAATGTACCTGACCTGAAGGCAAAAACTTCTAAAAGAAAGAAAGAAAAAGAAAATCACTGTAGCAAGAAAAGAATGGAGTTGTGTTTAAATCTGATTTCACCTGGCTAGGCAGAAATATGTTTTGTTTTGTTTTGTTTTGTTTTTGTTATAGGACATGTGCACTCACTGGAGAGAGAATGAGAGAAAAAAAGGAGAAGGGAGAAATCACCCCACAGAGGGGATGGCTATACCCCATTACCTTCTCCATTATCCTCTCACAATTTGGGGCATGCATACACATGAACCCAATGTGTTTTCAAACTGCCAGTTCCAAGACTTGAATAGCCACATAGTCACCCATGTGGGATCCAACCGTCTTAACCTCCATGCACCTGCTGCCCCCCCCAAAAAATAATTTTTTTTAAGGTTGTTGCTATAGAGCACATGCACTCACCAGAGAGAGACAGAAATAGAGGGAGGAAAAGTGAGAAATCACCCCCGAGGGGGATGGCCATGCCACAAATCCTTCTCCATTCTCCCACTGGGATTTTGGGCACACATACATACATGTACCAGGCATGAGTTTCAAGCCACTGTCTGGGACTCAGCACACCTTCAGCCATGTGGGAATCCAGCCATATGAGAATCCACCTGCTGCCCCATCGCCAATATATGCCTTTTAAATTGTCTTTTATTTGGCAGTTAAGAATGGTTTAAACACCAGTCCCATGGCCTACTGGTTAAGAGAGCTGGATCCCACAGGCTGACTGTAATTTCAGTCTTAACCCTGGCAGCTTGAAGAATATACTGGGTGTAGGTACATGCCTGTCCCAAATCCCAACAGGATAGAGAATGGAGAAGGGATTGTGGAGTGACCACACCCTCTTGGGGAGTACTTCTCTCTCCTCTCTCTTTCTCTCTCTCTCTGGTGAGTGGACTCAGCCTCTGGCAATTAAAAAAAAAAGGGGGGGGGAAGAATGGTTTAATATGACAAAGAGTAGTGTAGGATTACTAACTAAAGGGATAAACTTAGGTGGGCTACACTACCCAATTATTTAATCAAATAGTGTTCTAGGTGTTGCTGTGAAGGTGTTTTATAGATATGGATAATACCTACAATCAGTAAATATATTTATTTTGATAATGTGGGTGGGTCTTATCCAATCAGTTGGAAGGCATTAAGGACAAAACTGAGGGATCTCCCTAGGAAAGAAATTCTCTCCTGACTACACCATCAGCTCTTGGCCAGGTCTTCAGCCTGATGACCCAACCTCTACCCTATGGATCTGGGGCTTGCCAACCCTCACAATCACATAAGCCTATTCACTGAAATAAATCTCTCTACATACACACACACATATTACTGTGTGTATAAAATTATGACCTATTGGGAACCAGCAGTTAGCGTAATGGCTATGTCGCTGGACTCCCACGTAGTCGACCATGGTTCGCGTCCCGGACCCAGTGGCTTAAAACTCACGCCGGGCGTGTGTGCGTGCGTGCCCAAGATCCCGAGAGGAGAATGGAGGAGAAGGGATTGCGACGTGACCATTCCCCCTGGGGGGTGATTTCTCGCTTTCTGTCTCTATGTCTCTCTCTGTCTGTCTGGCGAGCGCACGCGCCCTACAGTGAAAATCTCTCCAAAAAAAAAAAAACTATAAAAAAAAAAAATTATGACCTATTGTTCTATTTCTCTGAAGGACCCTGATAATACTCTTCCTTTGTTGACCAAAATAACTAGCTGCCACTACACTTAATTCTCATCTTTAAAAAAAATTAATCTCAGGGCCAGCAAGTGATGTGGTGGCTAAGGACACCGGACTCTCACATGGAGCAGTTCAAGCCCTGGACCTGGCAGCTTGCTTTCTCACTTTCCCTCTCTCTCACTCTGTCCCTCTCTCATCAAATTAAAAGAAATAAAGTTAAATAAAATAATTATTTAAAAAATAAATCTCTCCATCTAATTTTCTGCATACCCTGATTCCATTTTTCAATGGCCCATGCATCATCACCTTATGGAAGATACATTTTGAGTTCCACAGCAAGAAAAATCAGTAATGGTGACCTCCAAGAGTATTTAATTTATGCGCCAATGAGGACTATCATATCTCCTGAGTTTGTTGCTTTCTTGTCATCAACCACTTAACAATATGGAATTGCTCCAGGCTCATACTGTGTCTTTTTTTTTTTTTTGGGGGGGGGGGTTTCCAGGCTATTTAATCAAGTTACAAACAATGTATACATTCCTGAGTATACTCCATTGTGGTGCCATAGACTTATTTTGGAATTTATATGAATTCAGCTTAAAAGGTGTTTCTTCCCAAGAAACTGAACTTTTCTGTCAAATGTGCTTGATCGAATAGAATTCGGTTCATAAAATGGTTTCATTGCAACCTTTTATATAAGTCGTAGACCTCAGTAAAGAAGTTCTTTATTCCATCTTCTTGCCTTATATCATGTAGCATACTGAATCTCATATGTCCTGCAGTGACAAACACAGACACAAACCACTCATTCAACTTGTCCACAGATTTCAAGTACATGTTGTTCGACAGCCATATGTTCTTGTTTACAAGGTCCAGAGCAGCATGAGCTATGAGTTCATTCAGATGACAATGATCATCTTTGGATTCTGCTTCCCCAGCTGGCAAAAACTCCATTTCAAAAACTGGATTATCATGGTAGGCAACAATTACAAAGTAGTAGCTTCTAGATACTGTCTTCGCTACATGGCTCCTGCCGCAAAACGCCCGCAACGGAAACGCCCAGTCAGTTCCTGCCTGGAGACTTGCCTCCACAACATCAGCCAAGACTCCCGAACAGTCCAGATTCGTACTGTGTCTTCACGCCATCTACACTTGATGTTCTCAATCAGTACCATGCCCCGAAATAACAGTGTAAACTAACAACTCTCAAGTTCACATATCCAGGTCTGAACAGTCTCCCAATGTTCGTTGGTAAATTAACTGAACAGTTGACTTCTTTTTTTTTTTTAAGAGTTTTTTCGGGACCAGCAGTTGGCGTAATGGCTATGTCGCTGGACTCCCATATAGTCGACTGCAGCTGGAGTCCTGGACCTGGTGGCTTAAACTCACACAGGTGCATGTACATGTGTACCCAAGATCCCGGGGGAGAATGGAGGAGAAGGAATTGCGGTGTGGAGATCCCCCCACCACCACCACCCCCGCCCCCAGGGTTGATTTCTCGCTTTCTATCTCTCTGTCTCTGTCGTTCTGGTGAGTGCACACGCCCTATAGCAAAAATTTCTAAAAAAAAACCTTTTTTTAAAAAGTTTTTTTCTTTTTATTAATTGTATTTATTTAAATTCGGCCAGAGAGGAACAGAGTGAGAGAAAGAAGGGAAGTAAGAAAGCAAGCCGCCAGGTTCAGGATTCTAATGCCAGTTGACCATGAGGGAGTCCAGCGTCCTTAAACACCACGCCACCTGCCGACTGGAAAGAGATTTTAATTTTTTCTAGAAGTGCATGCGACCACCAAGAAAGACACACAAGAGAGAGAAAACAGCCACGCCGAAATCCCTTCTCTTCAGTCTCCTCTTGGAAATTTGGAAACCCACGCACACGCACCCAGTGTGTTTTAAGCTGCTCGGTCTGGGACTCAAACTGTGGTTGACTACATGGAAGTCCAGCGACGTAACCTTTACGCCATCTGCTGGCCCCCACTTTGTGATCTCACAGTCCAGGGTCCGTGCACGAGGCTGGAGTCCCGAGCATCCCTCAAGCTTCCTTCACCCGCAGGCTCCCCTACCTCAGGAGTAAGCAGGTGCTCGCACGTTCGCGTCTACTTCCGCGACTCAGAAGTCCGTGCCACGTGTGGATGCCCAGACGGGAAGGGTGAGCGTCCACGTTGGCCGGGACTTCCGGCGCCCTCCTCTGGCCGGTTATTAGGCTACTTTTCCTCGGTTCACCCAGAAAGTGACTCGGTGCGGATTTACTTCGAAGGGCGCCTCTGCACAGGCCGCAACCCGGTCCAGACGTCCCTGCCTTCTGAGCCTCGATTTCCCAGGCCAAGAGCAGACAGTCTTACCCCTACCCGCCCCCTGGCCCCCGCGAGCTACGCCCACCGTAGACAGTCGGGTCTGAGGGGCGCCCGGGAACTTCCAAACCCAGGAAACGCCGCGTGAGGCGCCCGCCGCGTTGTGCGAGAGCGCGAGGAAACTACACCACCCAGAAGGCCGTGCGCTGCGCGTGCGGCGGGAGCTGGGCCAATGGCGGCCACGAGAGGGGCCTTTCGGGCGGGACTTCCGGGTTGATCGCGGCCGACGCCATTTGCCGCTGTTCCTGGGACCCGAGTGCGGCGTTTAGGCCTCTAGTTCGCGCCGAGTGGCGAGAATCCCTAGACAGAACGCCTTCTGCGCCTTTGTGGTCCCGGACGTCCTACACTGGCGTTTCCTGGTCGCCCGCCGGCCGCGGCCTCACCCGCCTTTCAGCCCGGCAGTCGCCAAGGGCGGCGCCCGGCGCCGCGGGCG